TGTTGTTTTGGGCTGCTGTTTTCTCCGTCCTCTCCCGTGCATCTCGAAATGTACTGCTTGGTGGTCGCTGAATGTGAATTCATTGCTGACTTTCCATGTGGTTAGCCTATAGAGTGAGCTGCTGAGCAGGGTGAGGTCAATAATAGAGCCTCTACCGTCCTTGCAGTACGTGAGCCCGTCGCCCGTCGTTTGCAAGGCCCAAGTCGATCGCCGCGAACTCTTCTAGCAGAGTGGTCCCTCTCTCCCCATTCCAGGGCCCAGGCGTGAAAGTCTCCGGCTATGACGAGGCGAGATCTGTTGCGAGCGTTTTCAGATATTTCCTACAGCATGTTTTGGAACCGCCGCAGTTCCCAGTTTGGGGGTGCGCAACAACTGTAAACGGTGATTCCATTTATTTTAGCTCTGACGATTCCTTCGTGTGCTGCTCTGACTTCCTGGACCGGTGAGTTGAGGGGCCAAATGGCCGCTTTTCTGCATTTACGTGCCACCCAGCCACTTCCAGCGATAGGCGTGTATGGCTCGCAGCGGGCATCTGCCGCTACCGACAATGTGTTTGGGGTCATTGTTCCTATCCTTGCAGAGCATGCACTGTGTCTCTTGTTTGCAGTCCTTAGCCAGATGGTCCTCTCCTCCGCATCGTCGGCAAAGATTCGATCTATCCAGTTCACTCTTGCAGTGTCTTGTAAGGTGTTTAAGCTCGAGGCATCTGAAACATCTGGGGATGTTTATCCACTCGCGGATTCTTGAGTTGACCCAGCCCACTTTCAGGAAACTTACTGAAAGGGCATTTTTAGCACTTTCCGCTGTCTTATAGTCGCCGTTTGTGTTTGGCCATACTCCTTTCGGAGGTTAATATTCTCTGGGGCTATGTTAAATATTTGAATTTGACCCCTCAGCGCCTCGCAGATGTCCTCTCTGGTCGTTATCTCGTCCAGGTCCTTGCACTCAATAGAGACTCGGTGGGACAGCGTCCGGACCTCAGGATTTTCGCTTAGCGTTTCGCCCACCAGGTTTCTAAATGCTGTGGTATTCTCTCCCGAATTCCTAAGCTGATGTAGCAGTTTTCCTTTTTGTGTCCTCCCAGTTTCTCGTCCGCTTTAACTTTCCTCAGTACCTCTGAGTAGCTAGCTTCTCCTTTTCCCGAGATGACTATAGCATCCGGTCGCGTCTGTGTGTGTATGTGTGTTTTGTTTGATGATCTGACTCAGGATGTGTCTGGCCGCTAGGGCTTCTAGAACTCCCGTCCACTGTGCAGACTAGGCAGTACTGATTGGTGCCTGCCCATCTTGTGGTTTTAATTGCGCCTTCTGCAAGATCAGCCACCGTCCTGATGGCACCCGTAGTATTTCTATGCTTCCTGAACCCACATTGGCGATCACAAAGACCGTGCACTTCAGCAAGCTTGCTTTCTAGGCTATTGCAGATTATCCGCTCGAGGATTTTCCCTATCGTGTCCAGCATGCACAGAGGGCGATGATCCCTCCCATCCATTTCCTTGCTGGGCTTCGGTATGAGCACAAGTCGCTGGAGCTTCCATCTACGTGGTACTGTGCATTCCACGATGCATTGGGTGTATAGGTCCACGAATCTTCTGGGGCGTGTAGCGATGACAGCTTTGATGACGCTGTTAGAGATGTCGTCTGGTTCAGGGGATTTGTCGGCCATCACCTTCGCAACAATTCTCAGCAGTTCATTGTCGTCGGTGGGTGCACAGTCGTCAATTCCAGTTGCTGGGGGTTGCAATTCCAGATGGCTGCCGTGGAAGGTGAGTATGGACTATGCGTTTCAGCTGGTTTGGGTTTGTTGGCATTGGTTGCCTGCATAACCTTCCCATGACTAATTTGTATGCCAGTTCAAAAGGCTCCGCGTCCGCAGCGTCGCAAAGCACTTGAAATTACCGGGTTTGGCTCCTCGTTAAAACAGGCCACCAGTCGGTGTGAGTTTCCACCCTTACGGACTTTCAGTACTGCGTCGCATGCGTATATGATTGTCTCTGATATCGCGACAGCGGAGCTATTGGCATTACCTCTTATGCCAAGTCCTTCCACCATAGGGGGGAGTCTTTCGGGTCCATAGTGTCCAAATTATATCCAGTGTGTTGGTGGGTTCTACTGATGCTTCTGCTTCCAGGTTGAGAGGTGTCCGTTATCTCCGCAAAGTGGTCGTTGTGGGTGTCTACATCTGATACATGCCATTTGGTGTGTCGGGCAATGTCTGGGCTGGCGAACGACAGGTCTATGATTGTGTGGAAAAGTAGTTTGTATTCCGTTGAGATATTGTATTATATTCAGAACAGTAGCGCGTCAGTGCTATTTCGCTTTCATGTTAATAATGATTTGATTTGTCTTTAATTTTGCGCTTAGCCTATGGATATATATATGTACTTATGCTGTTATCGGTTAACAGCTACAAGGAGAGGGAGAGTGAGTAGCTAGCATATGCCTGTATTAGTGAGCATATATATTGCTCATGGAATGCGCGAAGGAGCGTGGGATAAAGCGTAAGCATAAACGGTCAGCTAGTGAGGCTAGCTGACAACCGATGACTATTAGGTCATCCATGTACAAGAAAGCTTGTGAAGGATCTAATCCAGAAAAAGCGATGGTCATCATTCTTTGAAAAGAATTAGGCGCAATTTTTAGACCATATGGTAATCGTGTAAAACGAAAGGAGCCATTGGTCGTTAAAAAAAAAACGTTATGTTTCTAGAATTTTCTTCTAATTCTATTTGGTGAAAACCGGACATTAAATCTAAGCATGAGAAATATTTTGCTCTGCCTAGTTGGTCAAGAATATCATCTATTCTTGGAAGTGGAAATTTGTCGGACAACAGTTTTTTGTTAATTTGACGATAGTCTATAAGTAATCGCCATCTCTTGGTATCGGATCGGACCTTTTTTTGGTACAAGGAGTATTGGACTGTTATATTCTGATACGGAAGGTTCTACTATTTTATCTTGAATGAGTTTTTCTACCTGTTTAGTTACTTCTTCCCTATGAGTATGAGGTATTCTGTACTTTTTTATGTACACTTCTTCTTTGTCTTTTAATCTTAACTCTTGCTTATAAAAATTGTTGGTTGTTATAGATTCGGTTTCTTATCCGAATACATCTGTATACTTGGTGCATAGCTCTTTTAGTTTTACTTTAAAGAATGGTGGAAAGTTTTTGACTAGTTTTTTCATGACATTACTTTGTCTTTCTTCGTTAATTTCATTGACTATTTTGTAGTCATTTAACGTTTCAAATTTGATTTGGGCTAAGCTGACTTTTTAACTGAATTAGTTGTATTTAATATTCGGACAAATGTATTTTTGTTATTAGAAATTGTATTTCCAATGAAAATTCCTTCGTCAATTTCTTGATTTGTAATTAAAAGATGATTTTGTATGGAAGGTATTTTTATTTGACGGACAATTTCGTGCTGGTAGCATTGTGGCATTATTGTCACAAGTGTGAATTATTGGTAGTTTAATCGGATAATTTAAGTTGTTCGGACGAAGTATTAAGGAGTCATTAGTTTGTGTAAAATCTAATTGACAATTGTATTTTTTAATGAAATCTATTCCTATTGTGCCGTTACTAGGTATTGGGTAATTTTGTTCGACTAAATGGAAGTCGTGCGGAATGACGTATTTACCTGTAGTGAGCTCTATAAATGCTAAACCTTTTGAAAAAACTGAGCCTTCACCAATTCCTGATATTTGAGTGGTTGTGTTATCATTTATGTGTTCGAATGTATCGACATTTTCTTTTAATATTGAAATGTCTGCACCAGTATTTAATAACAAGGTAAATGTTTCACC